GTGTCATCAGCAAGAGCTAGCTGTGACAACTCCCACTTTGTGTGTGCTTCTTTATCTTTTAACCTCCAACGTCCTCTTGCCAAAGGCCCTCGCATTTACTTCTCTTACAACCCCAATCTATAATATTAGTAAACTAACCACCGGTGGACATCACACATCCTTGTCTAAGCCTATCTTTTACTGGGAAAAAATTTCCCTCTTTCATACATCTCTAACTTGAGCTCACTATCCATCGTAAAAACTCTTCATGCTTTCAGTAATCCTATCCTCCTACACCATACACTTGCAACATCTGCCACATTGTTGTTTTTTGCCCCCCCTATCCACCCTGTCATAGCCTTTTCCAAATCCATAAATGCACAAAGACCTCTTTAGCCTTATCTAAATACTGTTCACTTTTATGTTTCACTGTAACCCTGGTCCACACACCCCTACCTTTCCTAAAAGCTCTTGTTCATCTGCTATCCTATTCTCCGTCTTACTCTTAATTCTTTCTATGATAACTCTACCATTCACTCTACAGGTACACTAACAGGGACCTTATCCCCCTATAATTTTTGCACTCTCTTTTTTCCCCTTGGCCTTTATTACAAAGGAACTATGCTGCTCTCTGCAATCCCTAGGTTCATTACCCTTCTTCAGTACATTTATTTAAATAATTGCACCCAAACCACACAAAAACTATTATCCCCACCTGCTTTAACATTTCTATCTTTATCCATCAATCCGGCTGCTTACCCCTCCTTTCATTTTACCTACTGCATCACGTACTGCCCCCACACTCACAAATGGCTCTTCCTCACTCCTACAGATGTTATTCCTCCTTGCCCGATACACGAAATCACAGCTTCCCTATCTCATCAACATTTAACAATTCCTCAAAATATTCCTCCATCTTCCCAATACCTCTAACTCTCCATTTAATTTTTTTTTACTCTCCTCTCTATTTTTAACTGGCAAATCCATTTGTTCTCTAGGCTTTCTTTTAACTTGTTAATTCTCACTCCAAAACTTTTTTTTTTTTTTTCCTTTTTTCAACAAAATTAGTTGAGAACATCTCACCCCACTCTCTCATTTGCTCTCTTTTATAAATTGCATTCCACCACTCTCTTAACTTCTCTCTTTTTTCTCCATATACTCTTTCCCTCCTTGCATCACTTCTACTTTGTAAAAAAACTTCTCATATGCTAACTTTTTCTCCTTACTACTCTTTTACATCATCTTTCCACCATTCGTCCTCTTCCCTCCTGCACCCACTTTCCTGTAACACACAAATTCTGCTCGAACACTCTAACACTACATTTTTAAACTACCGCATACTCTTCGACACCATTGCCTATGCTTCATTAGCCCATCTAGCTCCAGTAGCTGTTTATATATCTTACCCTAACTGCCTCCTCTTTTAGTTTATAAACCTTCACCTCTCTCTTCCCTGATGCTTCTATTCTCCTTGTATCCCATTACTTTTACTCTGTGTAAGCTACAACTAGAAAAAAGTGATATGTATATCTGTGGCCCTCTATAAACATGTACATCCCTGAAGTCTACTCACAGTCTTTTATCTACCAATACTTAATCCAACAACTACTGTCATTTCGCCCTCCTACATCATATCGTGGATACTTATTATCCGCTTTTTCTTAAAATATGTATTACCTATAACCTAAACCCCCTTTCTCATACAAAGTTTCTATCAAAGGGCTCCCAGTATAGTTACCACCTGGCACCAAACTTACCTACCACACCCTCTCTAAAAGTTTCTCCTACTTTAGCATTCAAGTCCCCTACCACAATTACTCTCTCACTTGGTTCAAGGCTTCCTATACTTCACTTAATCCCTTTCAGGGTTCCGTCCCGTAGATCGACGGCTGTACGTGCAGGGTCCAAACCGTAGATCTACGCCTTGAGCTCAGCTCAACTCTGATAAACTGTGAGTGGTACATTTGGGCCTAGATATGAGAGAATACATCTATGTGGTATGTGTGCACCACATAAAACAGATCCTGCAGCACACTGTGTAAAATGAGAGAAAAAAAATGAAATCATGATTTTTTGATTAAAACAGCAACTTTGCAGTGTTTTTTTCGTATGTTTTTTATAGTTGTATTTGCGATTTCTTGGTCTCATTTGATAGAATGGAAGACATATTACAGAAATAGAGATGATTTTGATTGGTTTTAGCATTGGAAATGGCTTGAAACTGAGCTCAAAGTAGCGGAAATGTTAAATTTTTGCCGATATTCAAGAGTAAACAAACGACCTCACACGTCTAATACACGTCAGCTGGTTGGTCTAATATACATTCACAAATATGGTGATGATATTTATACAATTATTACAGTATTGCATAACAGTAAATCTTCTATTTTTTTGGTGTGAATAAAAATTCATTATGTGAATAAAAAATCAAAATGGAATTTATTTGTAAAGCCTCAAAACATAACTAATGAACAGAGGAAATGTTAGTTTAGTGCCAGGAATGCCTACATTGTTCATTCTGGACCCTATTTTGAAATTGGAATATTTTGAACTTTGTGTTAAATTGGCCAAATTAACAATTTCCGATCACTTTATTTTGTAGTTGAAACAGTTGACTTGGCGATTTCTTGTGCTCAATCGATAGAATAGAAGTAATACTAGTGAAATAGCTAAGAATTTGGTTGATTGGAATAATGTAATTGGCCTAAAATGGGAGTCAAAGTCGGCAAAATCGCCGATTCGTAAATATCGCTGACACATCAAAATTCGCGAGAGCATAATTTCGTCAATTTTCCACCAAATTTCGTACTTTTTGTTTTATTACCTTCACAAAAAGATTCTCTACGATTTCATAAGAAAAAATAACAAATTTTTTTTTTGAAAATCCTTGGACACTGGTGCGTGACTCCAGATTTGGGCCTTGGACCCTGAAAGGGTTAACATCTCCCAAAATCTCTCTCTCTCCTCTGCATTCCTCTCTTCTCCAGGTGCATACACGCTTATTATGACCCACTTCTCGCATCCAACCTTTACTTTAATCCACATAATTCTTGAATTTACACATTCATATTCTCTTTTCTCCTTCCATAACTGATCATTTAACATTACTGCTACCCCTTCCTTTGCTCTAACTCTCTCAGATACTCCAGATTTAATCCCATTTATTTCCCCCCACTGAAACTCTCCTACCCCCTTCAGCTTTGTTTTGCTTAGGGCCAGGACATCCAACTTCTTTTCAATCATAACATCAGCAATCATCTGTTTCTTGTCATCCGCACTACATCCACGCACATTTAAGCAACCCAGTTTTATAAAGTTTTTCTTCTTCTCTTTTTTAGTAATTGTATACAGGAGAAGGGGTTACTAGCCATTGCTCCCGGCATTTTAGTCGCCTCATACGACACGCATGACTTACGGAGGAAAGATTCTTTTCCACTTCCCCATGGACAATAGAAGAAATAAAAAAGAACAAGAGCTATTTAGAAAAAGGAGAAAAACCTAGATGTATGTATATATATATATGCATGTGCGTGTCTGTGAAGTGTGACCAAAGTGTAAGTAGGAGTAGCAAGATATCCCTGTTATCTTAGCGTGTTTATGAGACAGAAAAAGAAACCAGCAATCCTACCATCATGCAAAACAGTTACAGGTTTTTGTTTCACAGTCATCTGGCAGGACGGTAGTACTTCGTGGAAAGTGTTTTCTTTTTTTGGTTCGCTCTGCCTTGGTGGGAGATGGCCGGCATGTTAAAAAAAAAAAAAAAATTGTCATGCATTACGTGGAACAGGATTTTTTTTATATTGTCCACACACCACATAGACCCATTCTCTCATGTCAATGCCATATTTAAGCCATTTTTGATGCTGTTGGAAACATGTTTAGTTGTTTTATTCAGTTCTTTGTTTATACAGTAGTAATTAAATCTTCATGCCTGTATCTTACTTTTGTCATCTGCATACCCCAAAGTACAGTAAACTCTTGATATCACAAACCTTGATTTAACACACTCTACATAAATAACCCACACAAAGGAGACAGAAGCTTATGCTTTAATGGACTTGGAAATTTGGGACAAAATCAGGGTCACTTGATTCAGAATCGGCAGATAAAGTACATTCATTACAGAATTGTCTGTTATTGTTATAATCACTTCAAAATAATCTTCTCCACCACAGCCATCATTACCAGCCACCTGCCCCTCTCCCTGTTAGTCCATTGAGTAGAAAGTTTACTGTATCTTAATTAACAGAAAACACTCGCCCACAAATTTAAGATGATATTTAAGTGACACCTAGGTAGTAGGTTGGTAGACAGCAACCGCCCAGGGAGGTACTGCCGTCCTGCCAAGTGAGTGTAAAACAGAAACCTGTAACCTATAATTGTTTTACATGATGGTAGGATTGTTGGTGTCCATTTTTCTCTCATAAACATGCAAGGTTTCAGGTACGTCTTGCTACTTCTACTTACACTTAGGTCACACTACACATACATGTACAAGCATATATGTATATACACACCCCTCTGGGTTTTCTTCCATTTTTCTTACTAGTTCTTGTTCTTGTTTATTTCCTCTTACCTCCATGGGAAAGTGGAACAGAATTCTTCCTCCGTAAGCCATGCGTGTTGTAAGAGGCGACTAAAATGCCGGGAGCAAGGGGCTAGTAACCTCTTCTGTATATATTACTAAATGTAAAAGGAGAAACTTTCGTTTTTCCTTTTGGGCCACCCCACCTCGGTGGGATACAGCCGGTGTGTTGAAAGAAAGAAGATTTAAGTGACATTGATGTCCTTCCTGGACCATTGTTAAGATGAGTCATGAAGGTCTACAATGAAATTGTCGCCTGAGTTTCATTTCTAGTTTGTGACTTGTTCTACGATATTGTGATTTTTTTGTGGTGAACACTTTCTTCATTTCTTATATTTATTTATATTTTGTCTTAAGTGCATGCAGTATTTGTTATAAAACTTAATGTTTTTTTATGTATTTTTATAAGAAAAATAATAGTTTAACATATTTTTAGGCATAAATTCAATGGAAGCTGAGGTAACTGATATGAGAGGCCAAGTCAGCAAGATCACTGCAGACATGGAGTGCCTGAAGTGTGAGACAGCAGCATCAATCAAGACTGCCAAGGAAGAGGCCAGTTTGCAGGTAGAGAAAATACAAGCAGCAGCTAAACTAGAGGTATGGCAGTCAACTTGTTGACTCTGATATGTTAGTATAAAAGTACTAAAATGCACACATTGTAACATTTAGATCTGGGCAGTATGTTTTGGCCTCAGTCAGGGCCCCCTCTTCATCAGATGTGTAGCTTTTTCTTGAGCACTACTAGCTGTAATCTGAACATCTGTTGTTAAATTCTCATGATTTATTTAGAACTGAAAATGAGTTTTCCAAACTAACGGGGATCTGGCCTAAATTACCATAAAACTATACAGAAACTATGAAAATCTTAGAAAACCTTTAAGACTGAACATTACAAATCAAAAAAAAAAAAAAAAAAAAAAAAAAAAATATAGGATTTTCAAATGCCTGTTGTCCTTGGTCTTTATCCTCTTGTAAAGTATGTATGTAGCATTTAAATGTGTTATTTAAGATTGTGAGCTGAAGTATTGACATTAAGCACTAAAATTCCTTCAATAATGTAATATAATTTGCCATCAGCAACTGTGAAGTTGAATGGAGGGAATGAATACTTTTAGGCTTCATAGATGCCATCATTTTTGAACCCATTCTCTATACATTACACAAATGTGAATTTTAGAAGCGATTTTGTCAGATGCTTCCCTTTCTCAGTGCCTTGTTAAATGCTCTAATCTTCAGAACATGCATAACTACCTGCTCTTGGCTTAATCCTCACTGATTGTCACCTATGTACTGGAATTATCTTTACCTGATATTTCTTTTGACTCTCTTAACTGTTTCACCTGACCTGTTCTCTGGCTTTCTTCCCATTTCGGTCTCTGCTGTAATTTGATAATGGTAGGAAGGACCAGAATGTGTAAAAGATTCCCTTCCAATTTATGGGTTAGTTGTGAAAACTCAGGAAGTGATCAGTTTTATGAAAAACAAAGGCAGTAAGAATACTTGAAAACAATGAGAACTGCCAAAGAGCTAATACAAAATATACATTCATCAAAGTAAACTCTGAATCAGAGGTACTTCACTGGCACTTCAGGACAGTAGTAATAAAGGATCAGGTGAAAACCAAAGGAGAGAAGGAATACTCATAAGAGATGAGAGAGAAGAATGCATTAACTACAGTAGAAGTTTTCTCGGTTTATTTTTAAGCGAGTCAGAATCAGTACTGGAGGTGGAGGAAATAATGAATTGAAAGTATCTGTTTAAAACTGAAGAGACTATTGAGGAAGTTAGGATACTTCTCTTGGAACTTAGTATGTCAAAGGCATAATAGTTGCTTTGACCTGTTGCATAGCTCATGAAATCGTAATGACACGATTACAAACAAACCATACCTCTGACCGCGGGTTCAAACCCCACCCATGGTATGGTTTACCTGTTGCATAGCTTGGTAGGGTTGGGAGTGTGATGGGTTGAAAGGATGTTTTCCAAGGTCTACTGCAGGTGGCTGGGCATGAGGCTTAAGTTAGAAGCTAGACATATAGAGGAGGAGCAGGGTTATAGTGTGTATGTGGGGAAGAGTTTGTGTTGAGGGCAACTGACACTTGTGGAGGTTGGTTTTCAACGAGTTGAGGGAAGTCTCGAGTTGATCGAGCTTCATGTTGCTGAGTTTCTTCAAAAAGACATTGAATGCCAGGATGCCACCGCTGGTGCAGAGTCACTTGTAGCGAAGTCCTGCTGTCTCACATTCAATTTGCTGTAGCTTCAGGACGTTGAACTTGGCAGCCAGAGAGCAAGTGATGTATATGTGAGAAGGGACTGTATGAAGGCCTAATAGTTTTGTGGAGGTATGTGAGCCTTTGAGTTTGTATTCAGATGACTAGTTTTTCAAGTGACAAACTCAACAACATTGGTCAACATGGCTTTAGAGCAGGAAGATTATGCCTATTGCAGTGAGTAGATCACTACAGGACTTGACAAGTAGTCCCTTAAAAGTTTAAGAAAGGCTGAATAATTTCTACCCCATACTTGTCTCCTGAGGCACACATAAGCATCATTATAGATGTTATACTTTTTTATATAGAAAAGAGCAAGATGAGAGAAATAAAATGTGTAGGCTATGATTGATATTTGAGAGTGAATGTGTTGACAGATGGCTCTTTGAGCAACAAGGGGGAGTCATAAATTAAACTAGGAGAATGAGGTATGTGATGTATTGAGGTGTCTGTGGAAAGAAGTTTATGGAGGTAATAATGGGAATGTGTTAGTGTTATGGGACCAATACTTTTGATGAATTAAACATTTGCAACATCTGGGTAGGTTGTCAACACACTTTATATGGGTGTGAAGCATGGTCTTTAAGTATTGCAGCAAGGAGGAAGCTGGAGGCAGTGAAGATGTCATGCTTGAGGGCAAAGGGAATATTATGCAGAGAATTAAGAGTGCAAAAATTTGAATATGGTGTGGGGTTATGAAGGTATACTTCAAAGGAAATGGGATGGATTGTTTAGGGGATTTGGGTATTTAGAAAGGATGGAGTAGAAATGGATGACAGAGGGTGTATAAATCTGAGGTGGAAGGAAGGAGGGGTAAGGAATGTCACTGAAGGGCTTGAGGGAAGTGGGTGAAGAAAGTTTTTGGTAGGGGTTAGAGCATCCAGCAAGAGTGGAGAGAAGTACTTTTTAACCCTTAAACGGTCCAAACGTATATATATGTTTTTTCAACATTTGAAAGTTTGTAAAAAAAATGTACATTTTTTTTTTTTTTTACATTTGAAAATGTGTAAAAAAAACTTATTACATATTTTTTTATTATACAGTGGACCCTCGAGTTTCGGCAGCCTCGACTTTTGTGAAATTCGACCTTCGGCGAGTTTTTTTGGCAAAATTTGGCCTCTAGTTTCATGATTAGACTCGTGTTTTGGCGCCTGTCTGGTACCCGTCCGCCCGTCACCGCGCACACCAAGCCAGTCTCCCACGCCATTCACGCTCAGTGTGCCATTGTTTACCAATACGTGACCATCACCTCGCAGGTTCATGCAATACATTTCATAATAATCCATTGCTTTTTGTGCTTGCAACTGCTAAATAAGTCGTCATGGACCCAAGGAAAGCTAGTGCAAGCCCTTTGGTAAATAAAGTGAGGAACACGACCCAGAGGGATTTTGAAGGGTTTGAGGCAGACCCTGTCCCTGCCGACCCTCTGCCTGTTGTGGAAGGTGTTGTGGTATTGGGCAAGTCCATGGGGTTGGAGGTGAGTGACGGGGATGTGGAAGAGTTGGTGGAGGAGCACAGGGAAGAGCTAACCACTGACGAACTGCAAGAGCTTCAACTGGAATAGCATCAGACCACAGCCGAGGAACTTGCTTCAGAAGAGGAGGAAGAGGGAGTGGATGAGGTGCCTTCTTCAAAGATTAAGGTGATTTGTGCAAAGTGGAATGAGTTGCAAAGTTTTGTTGAAAAGTATCACCCTGACCAAGCTGAAACAAGCCATATCTGCAACATGTACAATGACAGTGTTGTGTCCCACTTCAGGAAAATCTTAAAGAAACACCAGAAAAATACACCTCTGGACAGATATTTTGTGTGACAGGGGTCCAGTGACTCTCAAGTTGTTCCCAGTGGCATTAAAAGAAGGGAAGTAACCCCAGATAAGGACTTGCTACCTAAAGTCCTAGTGGAATGAGATTCTCCTTCCAAACAATAGTGTACACCTTCCTCCTGACCCCTCCTCCCGTCTTCTATCCACCCAGAAGTCTTCATTAAAGGTAAGTGTAATGTTGTTATTTTTTATATGCATGTACTTGATTTCTCATTGATTTCAGTATACAAGTCTATTTAATTTGAAAAAAAAAAAAAAATTTTTTTAATATTTTTGGGTGTCTGGAACCGATTTATTTTATTTCCATTATTTCTTATGGGGAAAAGGGTTTCGAGTTTTGTGAATTTAGATTTTTGGCAGGCTCTCTGGAACGGATTAATCACGAAACTCGGAGGTCCACTGTATTTGAAAATATGTAAAAACATAGATCTACTTTTGGAGCACTACGGATTTGAACGTCGATCTATTTGGATCGTTTAACCCTTTGAGGGTTTTCGTCGTACTAGTACGTCTTACGCGTAGGGGTTTTTGACGTACTAGTACGCATAAATTCTAGCGGCCTCAAATCTAGTGGGAGAAAGCTGGTAGGCCTTCATATGAAAGAATGGGTCTATGTGGTCAGTGTGCACAGTCTAAAAAAAATCCTGCAGCACACAGTGCATAATGAGAAAAAAAAAACTTTGACCATTTTTTTGGAATAAATCAGCGACTTTGCAGTGTATTTTCGTATGGTATTTATTGTTGTATTCTAGTTTTCTTGGTCTCATTTTATAGAATGGAAGACATATTACAGAAATTGAGATGATTTTGGCTGGTTTTACAATGAAGGTGCCTTGAAATTGAGCTCAAAGTAGCAGAAATGTTCGATTTTTACCAAACTTCAAAAGTAAACAAATCGTGCCAAGCGTGCAATACACGTCAACTGGTGAGTCTAATATTCTTTCACAAGTGCACCAATAATATTTATACCATTTTTTACACTAATGCAGTAGTCTGCATAACAGTAAATCTTATATTTTTTGTGAGAAGAAAAATTCAAAATGGAAAGCAAAAGAATATAAGAGGGGCCTTGAGACGTGACTAATGACTAGAGGAAATGTCATTTTAGTGCCAGGAATGTCTTTCTTGTTTATTCTGGACCCTATTCGGAAATTGGCATCTTTTGAAATTTGTGTGAAATTGGCAAAATTGCTAAATTCTGACCACTGTACTGGATAGTTGAATTTCGTAAATGGGTGGTTTCTTGCACCCATTCGATAGAAAAATTGGAGTTCTAGCGAAATATTCATGTTTTTTGTCGACTAGTACAGCGAAATTGGCCGAAAATGGGGCTCAAAGTGGGCAAAATCGCCGATGCGTAAACATCGCCGAGACCGCTAACTTTGCGAGAGCATAATTTCGTAAGTTTTCTATCAAATTTCAAACTTTTGGTGTCTTTATGATCGGGAAAAGATTCTCTATCTTTTCATAAGAGAAAATAATTTTTTTTTTTAAATTTGGCCGACCCTGAGAACGAGTTTCGGAGAGGGCCTGTCGACCCTCAAAGGGTTAAGGGTTAGGATTTAATTCTGTGGGAGTGTTATCAAGGGATATAAAGGGATTTAGAGAAGTCAGTTGGCCAGACTTGAGTTCTGGAGGTAATAAAATAGATCCTGCACTTTCGAGGAAGGGTGGGAAATTTTGCTGTTCAGAGGGTTATTTTAACCCCTTGACTGTCGCAACCCCTATTCCTGAGGTCTCCTGGTGTTGCAAAATTTAAAAAAAAAAAAAAAAAAAAAAAAAATTCTTATGAAATGATAGAGAATCTTTTCCCGATTGTAATGACACAAAAAAAAAAAAACCTGAAATTCAATGGAAAACTGACAGAATTACGCTCTCGCGAAGTTAGCGACCTCGGCGATATTTACAAATTGGCGATTTCACCCACTTTGAGCCCTATTTTCGGTTAATTCCATTGTTCCAGTCGACCAAGCTCGTAGCTTTTTCTTTAGAACTCCCTTTTTTCTATCAATTGACTACAAGAAACTGCCCATTTACCGATTTCAACTACCCAACAACGTGATCAGAAATTTGCAATTTGACCAATTTCATGAAAATTAAAAAATATGACAATTTCAAAATAAGGTCCAGAATGAACAATGCCGACATTCCTGGCTCTAAAATAACATTTTCTTTGTTCATCAGTCATGTCTTCAGGCCCCTCTGATATTACTCTTGCTTTCTATTTTGAATTTTTTTTAAACAAAGAATAAAAGATTTACTATTATGCAGACTACTGCTATATTGTAATAATTGTACAAATAATATCAACCCATTCATGACTGCATATTAGAATGGCGAGTTGGACACTAATTGGACAATGACAACATTTGTTTACTTTTGAACACCGGCAAAAGTCAAACATTTCCCCTAGTTTGAGCTCCATTTCTAGGTTCTTCTTATAGCAAAGCCAATCAAAACCACCTCTATTTCTATAATATGTTTTCCATTCTATCAAATGAGACCAAGAAAATGAGAATACAACCATAAATACTATACGAAAATAGACCACAAAGTCTGCATTTTAATTAAAAAAATGGTCGGCGTTTTTTTTTCTCGTCATGCACTGCGTGCTCCAGGATATTTTTTATATGGTGCACACTGACCACACAGACCCATTCTCTCACATGTGGGCCTACCAGCTTTCTCCTGCTTGATTTAAGCCGCTAGAATTTGAGTATATGTACGTCAAACACGGTACCTCTTATGACGTATATATACGACCAAAACAGTCAAAGGGTTAACTAGTGATGTCTGCGCTCCTCTGGGAAGACAGCTATTGAATGTGTGTGTGTCCCCCTTCGCAAAAGATTGAGCAAGGCTAAAGATATGAAGGAGATTTGATTGAAAATTCAAATTCTTTTCTTTCTTTATCAGATTTATTTTTCAACAAGCATGTGGTGTCTATGCTTCTTGAACATTTATATCATGTGTTGTGCATGAAATATTTTATAAATTTTTATTATGATGTGGTGCATTTATCATTGCTTATTAATAACAAGCATCATTTTTTTAATACATTGATTGTCTCCCGCTAAGATAGGGTGACCTGAAGAAACACTTTTACCACCACTTGCTCCATCACTGCCTTGCCAGAGGTGCACTGACCTAACAGCTCAGATGCTCTTAATGTGTTGATACATAATAACTAAAGAAAATATTGCTTTCTTGCTTGTAACACTTTTTATCCTATGGTGTTTACTTTTTCCTGAACTCTTAAGTTAACATATTTAAATGTAATTCTAGATTGATGAGGCAAAAATGAATGCAGAGGCAGAAATAGCTAAGATTAAAGAGGCTACTGAATTAGAAGTGAAAAATGCCAAGAAAACAGCAGCTGAGAGCATTGACCTGAGACATGAAGAAACTCAGGCTCAGTTGAATCAGATGAGACAACAGGTAAGTTGATAAGTTGTCATCTTTTTTATTCAGTATCATATTTTCCACTTGTAAAATGGGGTATATTAACTACTTGATCATTAGGTTAATAAAAAATTTGGTTAAATCTGGGATGGATGGGAGGGGTTTTAGTAGGTATTTAAGGAGCAGTTGGAGATAAGCTGTGAAAGTGGTATTAAGAAGCAGGAGCTTTGTAATTTAGCTTGTATGTGAGACAGGGGAATGTATGAGAGTATAGCAGTACCAACACTTGTTTGGGGGTGAAGCTAGGGTTGTGTATGTTGCGGCGAGGAGGTTGGCGGCAGTGGAGACATGTCTTAGGGCAATGTATGGTGTAAATATTATGCATAAAATTTGTAGTTTGGAGATTAGGAGGAGGTGTGGTTACTGAAAGTATTCTCCAGAGGGGTTGTTGAGGTGATTTGGTTATTTAGAGAGGAGGGGGGGCAAAATAAAATGACTTGGAGGGTGTATAAATCTAGTGGAGAGACAGTGGGGGTAGGAGGCATCCTAGGATAGGAGTGAAGGAGGGGGATATAGTAGGTTTTGTGTGTGAGGGGGTTTGGACATCCAGCAAGCAAGTGTGAGCATGTTAGATAGGAATTAGTGAGGCAGATGGTTTTTGGGACATGACGAGCTGTGAAGTACAGTGGACCCTCATTTTTCATAATTAATCCGTTCCAGAGAGTGTGACTATTATCGAAGTTTACCATTTGCGAGTCCATTTTCCCCATAAGAAATAATGTAAATTCAATTAATTCATTCCAGACATCCAGAAGTATCAACGAAAAAATTTTTTTTTTTTACCTTAGATAGATTTACATGCACAAAAGAATGAACATTCAACATGACAGTTACCTTTATTGAAGGCTGTTGTTGATGAATTTAAGACAGGGAAGAGGAAAGAGAGGTTATTGTTTGGAAGGGGAATCCCCCCTCCATAGGGACTCTAGGGCACTTCAGGGGTCACTTCCCTAGCTTAAATATAGTTACATGCAGAAAAGAATGTTGAATAAATGTAAAGCACTAATAAAATGTATAAATGAACATTTAACATTGCACTTACCTTTATTGAAGAATCTTGGTGTATAGCAGATGAGGCAGAGGGAGGGGAGGGGAGGCGAGGCGAGGAGAGTTTATTATTGGAGAATGACACTAATATCAACTCTATGGCTTATTTATCTATCACAATTAAACTAATATGACATAATAAACAATATTAATAATATAGAAACATGGAATATACTCTAGAATGAATAAAATCATTATGAATGAAACAAGAGGTGTTCTGTTTGGTGTATAAGGGCCACTGAGAGCATAAGCCGTCGATAATGGTGGTGAAGCAGCAGCTGAGGTGCCAGTGTTTTCTGTAGCCCTATTTAACTCCAACAACATTGGAGGAGTTGGTAGAATTACTGAATCACTGAAGAAGGCACCCTCTACCACTATCACAACTGCTACCACTCTACCACCAATACTTTCATATTTATCTACAAACTTTTTCTTAAATTATGTGTGTTTCTCACATTCTTTACCAAAGGGCTGGCACTAGAAGCTTTCTTTGGAGCCATGGTGACTTATTTAGCAGTTCCAAGCACTAAAACGAATTGAATATTATGAAATGTATCGTATGAACTCGTGGGATCATCCTCACTCATTGATAAACAATGGCACACTGGCTGGGAATGGAGTGCGAGGCGTATCGGGGCTGTATGTACACATCCCAGACAAACGACGATTTGCAAGTCAATGTTTTGATGAAAAAAAGTTACGATTTCTGAAAATTACGACTTTCGAGCCTTAGTAAAACGAGGGTCCACTGTATGAACAAGGTAAAATTTTGTGAAGGGATTCAGGGAAACTGGTTAGGCAGACTAGAGTTCTTAAGGTGGGAGGTACAATGCCTGCCCTCTGAAGGAGGGGTTAGAGATATTTGTTTGGTGGAATGTCTGAATTGTCATATAGATATGCCTCTGGCAAGACAGTGATGTGAATGATGGTGAAAGTGTTTCTTTATTGGGTCACCCTGCCTTGGTGGGAGACGGCCTGTGTACTAAAAAAAATAATTACGGTAATGCACTGATCCTGTTGGGATCTTACAACATATATACAGTGGTACCTTGACTTAAGAGTTTAATCTGTTTCATGACCTTGCTCGTATACCAAATTGGCTTTGCTCACTGAAATTAATTGAAATGCCATTAATCCGTTCCAGCAGAATTCCTGGTCTCAGGAGGCAGGAGAAAATACTTCAATATAACGCTAATATTAACTCTGTGGCTTATTTATCTATCACAATTCATCTAATATGACATAATAAACAATATAAATAATGTAGAAACATGATATATACTCTAGAATGAATAAAATATCATTGTGACTAGTGGTGGTGGCCACTCCTGCTCTGACCTCATCTCCTCATTCTTTCCCTTCTGAAAATAGTGCTTGTGAGGCTAACTGCACTAGATCACTAGTTTCTTAAGGAAAACACTGAAACACTGTATTAATAAATAAATATTGTATAAAACCATAATAAAAAAATAATGTAAAGAAATAAACTGGTTTTATAAAGTGTACATATTTACTTTGGAGAACAGATGTTGGCAGAGGTGGAGGGTGGAAAAGATAAGCTACTTGCTACACTTTATCGCTTGGCTGGCGCTATAGCTTGTATCGACTCCTGCTTTAGTATACATGTCATAGAAGTACTACGCTGGTACTGCCTGGTTAAGTCCACAGCCCACACACCTCACTCGTGTTTATCTGTGATTTCATTCTTTAATTCAATGGACATCATCCTCTTTTTCTTCTCAGCACTGTCCTTTGCACTTGCTTTCTTAGGACCCATGGTTAGAATAAAGAAATTTGGAAAAATAACTGCACAAAATGCAAGCACAACACGAGAAATGCATCAATGGCAAGGTAAACATGTACACTGCTGAGCAGATGTTGTGGCTTTCGCTGCGCCAACTAGTGGCGGCGTTCTGAAACTCGCTCGTAACTCAGATTTTGGCTCGTAACTCAGAGCAAAAAATCGACTGAGGGATGGCTTGTAACTCGAAAAACTCGTATGTTGAAGCATTTGTAAGTCAAGGTTCCACTGTACTTTGTCATTAGAAAACGCAGCTAATACGCTGCCAGTGACTTGTAAAGTTAATACCCAATTTTTTAAGTCCTCTGTTAAGGTTAAGAGGGCTAATTTAGCATACCTCGTATTGAGCCAGACTGCAAGTGGATCTCCCAAGTATATACAAATACCTGAATGGAAAAGTTTTCATGCCCGAGCCACTTTTTGGTACATGAACCCAGTCAGAGCTGCACTAACATTTTTTTTCATATACTTTTTTTGATGTAAATATGAATAACATTTTATTAGCCCTTTTGTGGCCTGTGCATTAGTGCTATAGCTTTGAGCTTGGGCTCCATACCGTAGAACTACGTGATGAGCTCAGCTCACTGTACCTATGCATGGTAAATTTTGGCCTAATTATGAGAAAATGGGTATATGTGATGTGTGTACCATATAAAAAAAAAGAAATCCTACCCCACACAGGGCATGATGGGAAAAACAAAACTGTGACCATGTGTATATCTTAACCCTTTCAGGGTCCGTCCCATAGATCAACGGCTTTATGTTGAGTGTCCAAACCGTAGATCTACACCAAAATTCTAGCGCCGTCAAATTTATCGCGAAAACGCTCATAGGCCTACATGTGAGAGAACGGGTCTGCGTGGTGGGTGTGCGCCATAAACAAAAAATCTAGGCGCCCGCATAGCATTGTGGGAACGCCGGCTCAGTTACCCTTGTTCACCATGCCTCGTCGCAAGTCAGCTCTCACTCCCCGGAAAATTGGGACTCTCCTCTTCCTATCTGATAGTTCTGACACTGATGGAAGTGGAAATGAAGATGAATTCTACGGCTTTGATCAGTTAGTGACTGAAAAGAATGACCAGGATATCAATAATAGTGCAGAAAACCCTGACGATCCTCAACCTTCTACCTCTGGTGTGGGCACTCGTGACTCATGGTCGGTTGTTCCTCATCGCAAGAGAAAACTAATATTTTTGCGTGGCCAGGCCTCTGACTTCAGTAATGATGATGATAGTGACGTGGACTGTGATTTTATTGCGCTCGACGATCATTCGAGTAGTGATAGTGAGGAATCATATTCACCAGTGAAGCATCGGTATGTTCGCCGCCACGTGCGCTCGGGTAGTGTACCCTATGCTATGCCCAGGGGACGGAGTACATCCCGGAGTACATCCCGTGGCCCAACACCAGTTTTAGGTAGTGATAGTGAGGATGATGTGGCTACATTTGGGCCCATGGATAGCCCACAGGTCGTGGATGGTGTTAGTGGTGAGGGTTAGGGGCCCCGCATGCGTGATCGCCGGGCCCACGCGGGCCCACGCTGCTGACTCGTCGTTCAAGGACAAAGTGGGCGCCACCCCCAGCCCCCCAAAACCCAAAAACCACCGCACAACCACCCCAGATGTCAGTATCCCCAGCAAACCGTTGGGGGGTTTGGGAAAAATCCCAATTTTGTTCCCCAACCCTACCACTTTGATGCCCTTCAATGAAATTCTCCCTATTGCCCCCTTGGGAAACCCGGGCCCAAATGAATGGTTTTTCCCTTTGAATTTTCTTTCCCCAGCCTTTGAGGGAAAATTTTGTAGGGAAAATAATAAGCATTTTGATACCCCAGGGCAAATACGTCTTATCACCACAGTCAAGATACACAGGTGGAAAGAGGACTTTTGCAGAAATGTATTGCTTTTTGCAACAAAAAGCTTTTCCCTCACTTTATAAGCATAATATAAAAGCTACGGTCCAAGATGGCAAAATTTTACCCGGTCTTCAGTGAAAATCTTAAAGTAAACGGTTTTATCTTACTCTTACTTGTTCACTTCTCTGAAAAAACCGGGCCTGACAGAAGTGACAGGTTATACAAGATTAGAAATTTTTTCATGATCTCAAAAAAGTTCGATATATTTTATCCATTAAAGAATCTTGTAATTGACGGTCTTTGATTTTGTTAAAAGGTTTTAAGACTGTCATTAAAAGCAGTATTACGAGCAAGGGAAACGTTTTGGTATAAAACTGTTTGTTCTGTGATTGTGACAGGGGGTGTTGGTATTGTTTTTAACACGGTAGAAAAACTTAAAAAGATACCAGATTTTATTGGGGTATCTCAGGGACGAGTGAGAAACATGATGGCCCCTTATTTGGTAAGGGGCATACTTTATGTACCGATAACGGTACCAAGCCCTTTCTCAGTGATTTCATGCGAGTGCAAGACGAGTGTGTGGCACAGTAGGGTTTTTAATCGTAAACATATGCCCCGGTCAACGCAGGGGCTGTGGTGTTGACGTCCAGGTGTTTACTGCAATGATCTGGGATTACGGTGGCAGACAAACGAGATGTCACTTGTTGACAAACCCCTTCACGTAATGAAATGCAAAACAGTGGCAAGGACAGTGATTGATTTAACCAAAAAAATGCGTTGGTTGACAAATGTGACATGCAGATTGGTTTTGTTGTGTGTTTGTAAGGTTTCAAGTGGTCATAATTTTCTTCCCTCTCATGGACATTTCAAAGCTCAATGCATTAATATGTACCCAAAAAAAGACTGGCAAAAGACCACCCTATGGTGAAATTTTTTTTGTCTGTTGTCAGAAAAACTCATAAAGAAGTACCCGGTAACAACCTGCTATACAACACGGTCCTCGAATTTCAGGATACCAAGCGTTTGGGGGGAAGGGGATCTTTCATAATACAACTTCCCTTTAATCAGAAGAAATTTGCTCAGAAGAGATGCATGTCTGTCAAAAACAAAAAAACAGCAACAAAGACGCAAAAAAACACTCGGTTTGGTGTGAGGAATGAGGTGCCTCGTGAAAGGTGCCCGTTTCAAGGAGTTCCCCAAGCTCCAGCAGTTTGAAAACCCTGTCCAGTGAAATTTTAAATATGTAAAAATTTTGATAGAAAAATTAGTATTATACAAAATTTTTTGCTGTTTATTGTAATAAAAACAGGGTAAACAATATGTAATAACGTTTTTTTTTTTGTGTTCAAAACAGTGAGTTTAGTTTACATTTTATCGTATTGGTCTTCAGGCCCCAAAAGTTTGTAGGAATAGAAAAAATTGGAAAAGAAAAAAAAAAAAAACAAAAAAACCGAAAATAATGTAAACGCGTATGTGGAATTCGTCGATGTTGCCGCCCCACATCATTTTTGACGAAATTTTTTGGGAGTATCTCGGTAAGTACTGATCAGAATTTTTTTTTTTTTTTTGGGCTTATTACCTTCACAAAAATATGTCTTTAATTCTGTAAGAATTTTTTTTTTTTTTTTTTTTTTTTTTTTTTTAAAATTTCTTGGACACTGGAGCACCACTTAGATTTTGGCCCCTTTGGGGCCCCGAAGGGGTTAAATAGCAACTTTGTGGTGTATTTTTGATGGTTTTATTGTTTTTTCCGGTTTTTGGTTTCATTTTATAGAAAGGAGATATATTACAGAAATGGGGATATTGATTGGTTTCAAGACTGGAAGTGTTGAAGCAGAAAAAATTCTATTTTTGTCAGATTCCCTAAGACACAAATCACATCACTTTTCTAATACATGTCCCAAAAGGCCCGGTTTTAAAGTGCGTTTGCAATATGCTGCATTATTTTTCAATTATTGCAAAAATGCCCCTTCAAGGGGGGCTCTTGGCTGGTTTAAGAGGCTTTGGTTGAGGAATTAGCCCTGTCGGTTTCTTTCCCCAGCCCAAAACCCATTACCCCCCCTTCCCCTCCCTATCCCCTCCCCCCCCCTCCCTTTTTCCATTCCCCCTCCCCCTCCTCACCCCTCCCTTTTGCCTTCCTCTTTTTGCCCTTTGTGATTTC